GAGTGAGACAGAGACCTCAGCGGGGTGGGCATAGAGTGAGACAGAGACCTCAGCAGGGGTGGGCATAGAGTGAGACAGAGACCTCAGCGGGGTGGACATAGAGTGAGACAGAGACCTCAGCGGGGTGGACATAGAGTGAGATGATAGAGACCTCAGCGGGGGTGGGCATAGAGTGAGATAGAGACCTCTGTCTCACTGGCTTGAGAGGCAGGTGTACTGAGAAGCACCTGTTTGTCCCCCATCTGGCTTCCTTGCGTCTCCTATGTGAGAAAACAATGTCTTCCCTTTGGATGGTTAATAGTCCTGAATAGTCCTGAACTCACCCCTATTTCCTGCCCCAGAGCATGTGTGGCCCCTTTTACTTGTCACAGACTTTGCACACGTAGTGTAGAATGACTTCGGTGAGCTAAAGTCAAGTTGTTTCCAGGAGCCCATGCTTGTGAGGTTGTGGAAGAGTCCTTGCCCTTTATGGCCTCTGGAGACGAAGCCTCAACCTTCCATAGTGTTAGGCCCTCTCTCTACCTATGGAGCCAGCAAGGCAGAGCCCTCCAGGAGCCCTGCCCATACCAACCCTGGCCTTGTCTGCTGCTGGGGTTTGCACATGCTCCTTTCACATCTCTAGCATGGCTCCCCACCCCAAAATCCTTAATCGCATTCACAGAAATCCTTCTGCTGCAGAAGGCACAAAAAACAAAGTTTCTCAGAACCTGCGGCTCTTTCCTGGTCTCCACACCATTCAGCCTCCTGCTACCTCCAGCAGATCTGAAAGGAGAGTACAAGTGGCGGCAGCGGGGGTGGGGGGTGGGGGGGTGGGGGTCGGACCAAGGGAGAAGAAGAGTCACCCAAGCTTACCCAGCGGTGCTGTGGTGCTTCCCGCCACCCACCCAAGCGACCACAGCTTCCAGGGCCTGTTTGGAGTGGTATCTCAGTGTTCTGTCTCTCCTCTTCCCTGCAGGGGCTGTGCACCAACTTTGCCCTCCTGAAGGCCCTCTGTGCTCAGGACCCCCGTGGCCCCAAGGCCATCCTGCCACCCAGCCACGAGTGTCCGCCTCTAGTCTCCTGTTCTCAGTGCAGCCAGTTCCCAGGCAGCTGCTCCAGGCTTCCGTCCAGGTTGCAGTTGCTCACCCCCTCTTTCCAGAGTTCCACGGTCACTCCAGCCCACTGAGTGAGCTGCCACAGAGCCAAGGCTGAGAGGGCTTGGCTGCTGTGCCCTGTGTATCAGGGTGAGGATTTTAATAAAAGAAATAGTAGATTGGAACTTGCTGCTCATTAACAAATCTGTCTCCCAGGGAGATGTTCTACTTCTTGAGATGTGATTCTGCTGCAGGACAGGACAGGGCTCTCTAGCATCATGTGACTAGACAAGGGCCACTGTTATTTCTGACGACCATCTTTATCTGTCCGAAGGGAAAATTTTCTGTAAATCCCCCTTTCTCCCAATTTTTGAGTTAAAAAGACTGGCTTAGTCTCCTTCCTTCATAAAGGAAAGCATTTGAATTTCTCATCTGTTGAATCCTGTGACCCTGGTCTCTAGTTTTAGGCTACCCCTGTCTTAGATGGGTCCTAGAGGGAGGCAAGGCCTCTTCAGGACCAAGACTTCTCTTTCCAGATCCATCATGCCATCCCTAAGTCCAGCAAGTTTCAGAGGGTTCTCTGGACTTCTCTGGGGGAGACAAATATCTATTGTGTCCTTCATCAGTATCATATACGCTCCATGAGAGCTGTGCCTTGGGTGCTCAAACATCCAACCTGCCCAACTGTGTCCATGTGCCTACCCAGCTGCTAGGCACACCAGAGCTGACAGAAGTAGCTAGCAGCTGCTTACACTGTAGATCTTGAGCTGCTATACTATGGGTCCTGCATCTGTGTGCTTAACCTCTTGGAGGACGCAGAACTTCCATCTGGCCCCATTTTCGGACTCATTTCCAGAGTGCCTGTGAGAACCTGTGCTGGTTAGATTTTTTAAATCAACTTGATAGAAATCAGAATCACCTGGAAAGAAGGGGCCGCAGCTGAGGAGTTGTCTCCATCAGTCTGACTTGCGACCATGGCTTAGCAGCGCACTTCCTGGCTTTAGAATGCCTTTGCCCGGCAGCATGTCACCTAAGATATGCCCAGGGTGCCTTCATGTAGCTTGAAGATATTTCACATCTTCACTTGGGTCAACAGTCCTCCCATCCACCCCAGGGTGTGACTTAGTCCCACTGGACCTCACAGCAGGCTTCCTTACAGAAGGTAAGACACAGAGAGGTAACAGGGTGGATACTAGGTATATCCTTTGGCCTCACAGGCACTCTCTGGAAGAATTGGCCCAAGGAGGCTGTCATTTCCAAAAGCTCACCCTTTCCCTTCCCACCTGTGCTAGCTTCTCAGACGGTTGTCCCTGGGCTAAGCAGAGGATGGAATTCTCTTTCAAAGGGAAGATTGCTGGCCTGGCTTGGGAGCTGAAACCTAGGACCATGATTTCCAAGAAGGAGAAAGGTGAGAGCTCTGTACACCAAGGGTAGCCAAAGGAGACCTGACCAGAAAGCCTCTGTCTTGTCACCAACAGATGCCTTCAGCATCCTGTGTGCACCCTGCCCAGGACACCAACAGCCTGGGGTGTTGGGCAGATGCTGGCGCAGGTGAAGAAAGTTCTCGGAGGCCAGCCAGGACTTCCTTAACCTTCTATTGACTGCACTACTGCTGTGGTTCAGCTTGCTCAGGAAGGAAAACATCCAGGCCACTCTTTCAAATCCAGTCTACATTCCCTCCCTTGACAGCCAGGAAGGGCCTAAGGGTCAGTCAGTCCAGTCTACCCAGCTCTACACCTAGACAGATGAGGCTCCTGTTGGGACAGGAAGCAATCAAATGCTTAGGGCAGCAAGAGCAAGATGCTCTGAGCAGCAGGGAGAAACCACAGCGGCATTGGCAGTCTCTGTGTAGGCCCTGGTGGGCTGCCGAGAGGGCTGAGAAGACAGTCCCTGGCAGCCAGTGGGCTGAGCAGTATCAAAGACCCATATGGGGCCAGGACAATGTACAGCACCCAGAAGCCCTACAGTGGCCTCCTTGCCTTCAGGAAGTCAGTCAGCCACACAGGGCTGTGATATGCGGTCTCATCACACTGGTCCGACCTGTTCTGTAGAAACTGGGGGTCCCTGAGTTTCTATGATGATGGTACAGTGACAAGGAAAGCAACTATTGCTCCCCAAGAGTCATTTGGAGGCTGGACTGGGCAGGCATTTGCTTGTCTGGGACAAAATGAAGGTCTTGGTGATCTGACATGGCTTCTGCCCTGTGTCTATTGGTGTTAGCTCTGCCTTGGACCTTTGCAATGATAGAAACTTCTGGAGTCCAGGCTGTAAAGATCTACTGTACTTTTGTTTTTATTTAACATATATGGTTCTTTTTAAATCACTCCTTTTGAGTTTCTTGAGATTTATTTTGCTATTCATTTTCTAATATATTTGGTTAGATTTCTAGCTCATTTATTTCCTTTTCAGTTAACATAAACTCTTTGGGTTACAAATCCCATTTCTTCTTTCATAGAATATTTAAAATTATGGTGTGTGTTGTTTTGAGTGATTTTTTTTCCTAAGACACATAATTATATGTGTGGATTAAAGCTTTCAATTTTGTGTGTGTGTGTATTTAACATTCTGTTTGCCATTTATTTCCACATTAATTGCATTTATGATCAAAGAATCATACACTGACTTGACTTGTACACTTGTATAGTACTTTTTCTTTTAAGTTTTTTTTTTTTGGAATTTATCTTAACACATGATTTGGGGGAACGCCATTGAATAGAGCTTAGTAATTGTTTTGCTGTTTAAATCTTCTAAAATTTGGCACATGTTATATTGACGTTCCTCACTGTAATAGAGGATTTGATAAAAAATACCCCTTTCTAGATATCATTTGTTTTATTTATGGATGCATACATATTTAGAATGTTTGTTGTTTTCTTGGTTAATGAAGCCTTTTCATTGGGAACGTGTTCTCTTTAGCCCTAAGAACTATTTCCGGTGTTGAAGATGATTTCTTTTGGTCTGCCCGCCATCCCTGCCCTGGGTATCATTTATAACCCCTTCTTGTTTTAATTTTGCTTGTTCTTATTAGGTCTGTGTCTTCTAAGTGTATGCAGCTCGACGAAATGAGTTTACCTGCCATTCTGAGTGTGTCGTTCAATGTCACCATTTGGACCTCCCCTGTGTGTGTGTGTGTGTGTGTGTGTGTGTGTGTGTGTGTGTGTGTGATTTAGTGTCACCATTCAGATCTCTCTCTCCCCCCACCTGTGTGTGTGTGTGTGTGTGTCCTTTAATGTCACCATTCAGATCTCTCTCTCTCCCCACCCGTGTGTGTGTGTGTGTGTGTGTGTGTGTGTGTGTAACTGGAATGGAGTATTACTAGAACCTACCCCGTTCCCATACTCTATGACACATCCCCATCAAGGAGATCACCTCCCAGGCTGCTACTAGCCAATGGCTGTTGGGCCCAGCAATCTGGAAGTGGACCCATGCTGGTAACTGGAGATTCCCTTCTGTCCTGGTCACAATGTTCTTGCAGCCAGAACCCTATTTCTTCTTCTCCAGTCCTTTTTCCTTCCCTCCTTCCCTTTCAAAGAACTTTACACATTGGTGCTGATGTGCATCACCCAGCTTAGCACGTTTTCAGCTCCTTTGCACTCCTTAGCTTTTTCACCGACACTGGTGGCTTTGCACCCCTGAAGACATCTTCATTTTGTGCCCACTCCTGAGCAGTACTGCAGGTGGACACTAATTGTAAATATGTATATTGTTTTCTAAGGCACCTGAAGATCCTACAGCCTGATGTTCATGAGCAATGTGTGGCTAGTTGACAGTCAATGTTTCCTGGGTAATCCATGCTTTGAGCTTAGTGGCTTCTAAAATGTATTTCTCTGACCTTGATGATTGCCTGTGTGGGTGCTTGGAGCTCTGGTCAAGTGCCTAATTTTTATTCTCCTTTCTATTAACAAATAAAATGTGCTGTGGGAACATCACTGTGGTGGTTTAAATAAGAATGACTCATATATGTGAATGCTTAGTCACCAGGGAGTAGAACTATTTGAAAGTATTAGAAGGATTAGGAGGTGTGGCCTTGTTGGAGGAAGTATGTCTTTGGGGGTGGGCTTTGAGATTTCAAAAGCCCATGCCAAGCTCAGAGCCTATCTCTCTGCCTGAGGACCAGGATGTAGCTCTCAGCTACTGCTCCCGCACCTGCCTGCATGCCACCATGCTCCCCTCTATGATAATAATGGGCTAAACCTCTGAAACTATAAGAAAGCCCCCAACTAAATGTTTTCCTTTGTAAGCATGGCCGTGGTTACGATGTCTCTTCACAGCAATAAATCATTGACTAAGCCCCATGATTCTGAGGGATGTGCAGCTCCAACCTTACCCACCTCCCATTTACTTTGGTAACAGACTCCCCAAACCCGGGGACAGGCTCCAGAGAGTCCTCTGTTTATCTCTGTGCGTCCTGGATCCCCATTGGCCTCAGAACAATTGTATCAATGAATGAGTGAGAGAAGCAGATGGGGAGCTGGGTGGGTTTTCTTTTCAGCCCAGAAGGAGTCTCCTTTCCCTACCCACTTCCAGATGATTAGCAAGCAGCGAGGTTCAAACAGTAGCGCCCACCCACACACAAGAGTGTTGCAACTGCCCGAGTACCACCCGGCCTCCGCTCTACCCCATCTTCCCTGAAAAATCCCTGGTCCTGCAGGACATGGCCTTGTGGACACCCATTCTCAGCCATCTCGCTCACAGGGACCCTCACTCTGCCTCACTCTACCCTCCTTCCAGGGTAGTTATTTAGAGGACACCTGCTGATTGATGACAGGCAGGGACCTTACTGCCATCCACAACTTGGAAAGGCAGGGAGGCAGCTGGTCCTCCAGTGAAGGCCAGGAGGGCCCTGTGAAACCGCAGCTGCCGCTCAGGCTACTTTCCTGGAGGTTAGGGGAAAGCGATTTGAGCGCAGACAGGGGTCCTTGGGCATCTCAGGCAGCCTGTACGCCACCAAACTGCCACCGCGGTCAGGGCCAGAAGGGTTCAAGAGCCCAGACGTTGAAGTGCACTGTGCAACAGCTCAGAGGTGACAGAAGACATCACTTCCAAACACAGCAGGACTGAGCCTGGAGCTCCTGGCTGCCAGTCAGGCTCCGGAGCCTGCGGGCGAGGTGGGAGCCGTCGGCTCGGCAGAGTGGAGCTTGGGTCTAGGTCCCTGGTGCCTCCTCAGCCTAGAAGGGCCAGGGGTGGGGACCCTGTGGGCTAGGGACCTGAAGGTCCCGCCCCCGAGGCGGGGCCTGGACTCCCGTGGGCTCCTTCCGCAGCCAAGTTCAGCCGCGCAGGCTAGCCGCCCAGCAGCTGGTACCCGCCGGCCTCGCTGATGCTGCGGAGAGCCCAGGTGAGACGCGCCCCGCGGTCCTACTGGGTAGACTGGCGAGCAGGAGAGGGAGACAGATGCTTCTCCTTCCTGTGGCCTTTTCCCGGGCAGAATTCTCAAGTCTGCCTTAGCTCTGAGGGCGGGATTTCCCTCCCCCCTGTGGCCAGCTCCTACATCTTTCTCCAGTCCAGTCCACTCTCTGGGGGCCCATCCTCTTGTCTCTTCCCAAGCCTCTCTCCTCTCACTTTCTTTTTCTTGTAGGGATCATCTTTAATGGCGATTCCTTCTTGCACTCCCGTTTTCTTTCCTTTTTTTTTTTTTTAATCTTCTCTTCCTCCTCTTTTTTTCTCGCTGCTCCCACTTCTTTTTTGCATACAATTCTGTCTGGTTTTTCTCCTAGACTGACTTGTGTGTCTGTCTACGTGTGTGTGTGTGTGTGTGTGTGTGTGTGTGTGTGTGTGTGTGATCCCTATACTCTATTATTCTCAACAGGGCTTGTGCTGAGTGCCATGGTAAGAACCATGACCAGATCGATCCCAGATGTGTTCTCCAACAAATATTTACAAAGATCTGGAAATGTAACTCAATGCCTGTTGTGGAAAAATACATAAATGTCCGAGTTTTCCGGGTGAACAGAAAGAAAATACCTGGTTTTGATGAGATGCTGCGTCCCTGTCTTGACATCATTTTCTTCTCTAATAGGTACAGACAGCACACCAAGAAAGCCGATCCTTGGAATAGCATTTAGGGGACAGCTCCAACCATGCGTGCATTCTGGGCAAGCTGTGCTGTCAGGTTCTGGGGCACAGAGGGGGTGGTGTTCCAGGCTGGATTGTAGGAAGACAATGGGAGCTCAGGGCTGGGTATGTTTTTGTCTACATGAGGTTGAAGAACAAATATTTCATGTTACCCTCAAAGATTACCTTAGATACATTCTAAAGAGAAGAAATCTAGGAAAGCCAGCCTGCTTAAATTGTTAGGGAACCAGGTACAGCAGGTCTACTGATGTTTATTGCTTTGTTAAAGATTTAGTCTTGACAAAGACACAATTTCATGTTTAGTGATATTTATGATCTGTCTTTATATTTAAAAGCACATACAAAACACACACTAACTTGCTTGTTTTCGAAGATGTTAATCATCAATTAAAGTTTGCAGCCTTGTCTTCTTTGGAACAATTTAAATTGACCTTGTAGTTTATTGTGCCTTTAATGATAATTCCGCCAGCTTAACTTGTCACGGATGCAGAAAAGGAAGCTTGTCAATAAGTGAGCAGAAGTAGCATCTGGTCAATGAGGGTTGCGGTGTGGTTAGTTGAAGAGTTTGCAATGCTTTAGTAAGGAATTCTGAACGGTTAATACGCATGTGCTGGGAGCTGGGGTTTGGAGACTGTGCTCTGCACCGGAGAGCTCAATTGTCCTGTGAGTCATCCAAACACTGGCTCCAGTGAGTCAGAACCGGTAATGGCGCTGCTCAAAGGGATGCTTCTCAGCTGATTTAGAATTGCATGGCAGTTTTGTTTGGCAGATTTCTTCTTCAGAAATCCAGGAGCTGGTGGCTCATATTTAAAACAGATAAGCCGCTAAAAAAGTATACGAAGCAAAGTCTTGAGTTTCAATGTTTTAAATTTTATTCGCCTTCATTACACAGTCTGTATCTTTATAAAAATGTCACAGCCCTTCTCTCTTTAGATGATGCTACTGCTTGAGTATAAAAGGGTCTCTGTTGAACAGTCTGGTAGATAAGCCAGGTACTTTATCCTGTAAATGCTGCCCTGGAGGTGAAACCCTGGCTAGGGTGGGGCACCTGCTCTTCCTTTCTGATAGTACCAAGAACAAGAGCTTCCTTTATTGAGATGTTACACACACCCCTGTTTAGTCCAATTAGAAGCACCCTGAACTAAAAATCACTATTCCAGTTTTATTTATAATGTGATTAACATCCTGAGTGGTTGTCCTGGGTTATGCGCCTAGTGAGTGGCTAGGCTGAAATTGCAATGCAAGCTATGTCTTGGAATCTGAGTCCTTGGGGCCAATTCAACCCCACAGGTTCTAGCAGAAATATCATCCCAGATAACACTACTTATTGGCTGGTTAATGATGCTTATTGGATCATGGCTTCTTGCTCTAGTGTCCTGGCCATCTTTGGCCATAGCTAACCCTGAATTCACCTAGTAGAGCCCCTATGAAGCACTGTTTTTGCCCTCTGAGTTCATTGGCTCTGTTTCTGAAAATTCCTGGGGATGGAAGGGTGAGGATATGTCATCTACCTTTATGTGGGTCCACATGGCCAAGCTGGGTTAGTACTAACTGTAGCCTTACTGTAGTCCTGGGAACCGGCTTTGCTTGCATTCAAACAGCTTTGGTCTAGAAGACTGGAGCTTTAGCTGGACATGAAACCTCTAGGAACTGGTTAGGACACCCTCTTAAAAGCTCTGCTTCTCTACGAAAGCCTGGAAAGCTTTTATGTTTCCAATGTTTCTAATATTCCAGAACTAGGAGATGCCTAGAAATATGAACATTCCCCACAGAAAAACTCAAGTGGTTATCATTCTTATACAGAAGGTGTTAATGCATGATTATATTCTGGAATCTTCCAAAAGGGTCTGGGAAAACTTCAGAGACTAGGGATGCGAAAAGACTAGATACACTGGGAGTGTTTTATGCCTTGTTTTGTTTTAACTGAGAAGAAAAGCAAATACAGGATACAATCTAGCAGGTATTATGGTGTCATGGAGCAGAACTTGATTCTGAACTGCAACTCAGATCCACAGGAATTGATACAGTGTTAAGAGAACTTCAGAACTCTGTGGCATCCATTTGTTTAATAAGATCTTATTGTCTGTATACAGGAAAAAAAGGAAAGAAATGACCTGGCTACTTGATTATTCATTTAGCACCACTGCGTGCTTGTTCTTTGAGTTCACAAGTCATGGAAAGTTGGCCATGAGGTGACTGTCCCTTTGTGATAAGCATGACAACAGTTTGTCTTCAAACTGAGTGCTGAGCCAGGTTCCTTGGCACTTTAGACATGCTGATCTAACCAATCTTTAGGACAATACAGTGAGATGAAGTACCCAAATGCTCCCTTTTACAGATAGGAAAATAGAGGTACTAGTGTGGATAATGGCAAAGAATGATGGAATCCAGGTCTTCGGTCCCTAGAACCCATACACTTGACCTTTATGATGTGAATGTGGGGCTCCATTCACTGGAACAGCAAGGGTGAATGGGAGAATGTAACCAGAGCCTCTTAGACATTGGAATGATGAGTCTATAGTTTGTATTCAAGCAGGAATAACAAGACTAGAAATAGATTGATCTCTCCGAATGTAGCACTTGCTGTGTTGATCAACAGCAGTACCCTGACAGGAGCTACAGGGAGAAGTATCTGCTATGGCAGGGAAGAGGGGCCATGGTAAGATGTCTATCTTGTTGATTGGAGGATCCTGGTGTCAGAAAGCACTCCGGATGATAGGATCATCACATGATCTGAGGTCTCTGAGGATGGTGGGAGGGTCTTGGAATTTCTTCTATTTTTTTTTTTTTCAGATAGAAGAACATGGAGTAGTTCTGAACCACGTTTGTGCAATTCAGAGGGGTGCCTTGTGGTGAAAAGAGCCAAGGATGATAAGAAAAGCCTTTTAGTGGAACACATACAATGATGGAGTGACAAGGACCCACAAAGAGAGTCAGGATGGAGAGCCCAGGATGAACTGAGGCCATTGAGGACAGCCCAGAACAACAAAGAGTCTTTTCATGTGGGGACCAGAGCAAGGAACAAGGACTGCACAGATCCATCACTGCCTAGGGCAGCTGGTGTCTGTGGGAGGAGAAAGGGGAAGGGGCAGTTCCAGTTTGCCCAGAAAACAGCTGCACAGGGGGTGAGTCCACAGGCACACAGGGTGGTGGGGGTGCAGGTGAGAAGGAAAAAGTGCTGTGTGCTGTGTGATTGGTCGGCTTCTGACCCACAGAACTCTGTGTTTGGGATGTGGAGTGGCTTGGAGAGGAGCTCCCACATCTGTGGTGGCCATCTGGGGGGCCCAGGGATGAGGGATGTAGATGCAGCGGGATGAGACCTGGAAGCCTAACTTTGGCCCTGGGAAAGATGCTGGTGTTTAAAGGGAGGGCTGTGAGTCCCTACAGAGTGCACAGAGGCAGCAGCGTTTCTGTAGGAGCAAGCCATAGCAGCCTCACACTACATTCCATCTTGAGAGGCTTCCATCTGGCAGTTTTCATGGAGGATAGACGTGGGAGTAGGACCTGAGATGGGCCTTATAGGAAATCCCATGCACTTGCCTGATCGATTAACCCCAAGCAATGCTGATTTAAGAGCCAGAGGTAGTCTCAGGCCATGATTCCACATGTACACATACACATGCACACAACCATATACAAAGACACATACAGACAAATGCACACTCTAGTACTTGTACACTCTCCTATAAGCACACACACATAAGTCACACATATATACATACTCTTCTTTGTACTGTCCTCTGCTTAGTTATTAGTTTGCTTTTGTCTGCTCCATTTCTCCTTTCTCTTTCTCCTCATTATCATTTATTCATTTCCCCTTTTCTCCCCCGCCTTATTAAGGATTGGGCTGATGGCTTTGATAGGGCATATGGTTGGATAGGCTATCTAATTCAATAGCTGGCATTCTCCAGATTCACCATGGTGTCAAATGCTGCCCTGTGGAGTTGAGCAAAATGACATGGGGATAGGTTGGCAATAAATGTTGGGTTGAGAAACACAATGCACTACATAGGTTTTGTGAAAATTAAGTGAAATCAAATGCACAGAGTTGTTTGTCTATACATACTTAAACAGAAGATTATCACCACTTTACTTTTTATATAATGAAGCATCCTGGTGACCAGCTTTCTGCCCTGCATGTCCCTGAGAAGAGGGTGGTCACATCTTCTTGCATGTCACTGTAAGTTCTGGTTCCTGGGATGAGCTGTCCCTGGTTGGACAATGCTGCCTGGACCATGAAGGGGCATCATGGGGCCTCTGCAGAGCTGGAAGTGAGTGCAGTGAGATCAGGGAATTTTGAGGCAGGTTCTTGAACATCCTTGGGTATAACATTATCTGGATCCAGCTGACTCTCGAGAAGTATCTGCGATTAGAGAAGAGACAGAACTTGTGTGTTTTAGTGTATTGTGGGAGTGTTCGTATAAATGTGTATGAACATGTTTGTGGGAGCATATGTGTATTAGTGTGTGTTTGTGTGAAAGTATATGTGTATTTGTGTGTTTGTGTGTGTGTAAAGTGTGTTTGTGTGTGCGAATGTGCCTGTGTGACTGTGTATGTGCATCTGTGTGAGCTCATGGAATAGAAACTCACTGGTGGGGATTCAAACAGACCTGCTATTTTTTGATTGAGAAAGAGAGGAGCAATTTATCCAATTAGTTACATCTGGGAGATCAGGGCTGAACTGTGGGGATGTTTTTAGCCCATTTCATAGTAGAAACCTGGGGCTTTGAGGGGCTGGCTGCTTTGCCCAGGGTTATCCTGTGGCTGTTGTCGCCTCTGCACTCAAAACACTGGGCAATATGATGTCTGATGCTGGAAGCAGCCCCCCTGAAGCTGTGGTCTAGAAAGGATGTTGAGGTGATCCATTTTGTCCCATCAGCACACAGTATGATGAGGGACCTGGGGACCCAGAACCACACAGAGGAGGGGACTGTTGTTTTTTTTTTTTTTTTTTTTTTTTTGCCATAGCAGCTGTTCAAAAGCTTTCGTCAGAGGAGACAGAGTCGAGGCTCCCCTTTCCTGCACTTGGGGTACTTCTATATTTTAACTCCCTCAAAAAGCTGATGCTGGTTGAATCTCTCTGGGGAACTTCTGAAGGAAAGGGGCAGGTGGGAGATGCATGTGCTGTGTGCTCCCTGCACAGGGAGGCGGAAGGCAGCGAGATGATGCAGCTGCCCAAGAAGCCTGAGTCCTAGTGAGGATGGAGCTTAGTCACTTCTGGGTCCCTCTGGCTCAGGGTAAGTTCTTCCAGTGGTGACAACTCTAGACTGCTGGTCGGGTCAGCACTGTGGTTCTGCCAGCACTGGCGAAGGAGACGGCTAGGTTCTGTGTCCTGGTTTTAGAACCAGATGGCTGGGCCAATGGGGAGAGGGGAGTGCTGACGGCCACCCTCAGAGAGCCGATGACATTGCTTCTACGCGCTTCCCCCATAGTGTGCTGTTCCCGCCAAACCCCGGCACCTCCAGGCACAGTCAGGAGCCGCTTCACCGGCGGATACCCAATGGTTTGGGACGAGTAGACAGCTGACATGGGTAGAGGGGAAGTGAGTGGGTTGAGGTGTAGGACGAGTCAAGCGTGAGTGTGTCTGGTGAGTGGCGAGCCGGGAGACTCAAGCTCTAGACAGGAACAAGGCCAGGTGGAGAGTGGACTGTGCCTCAGGGGGACGCAAGGGCCAGACACAGCCCACACCCACCCTGCGCCTACAGAAGCCCCCGTGTCTGTCCCTCTCAGTACCCGAAGTGGCCCAGCACACCTGACAACAAGAATTAAAATCAGCCTGCCAACCAGCAAGCAAAACTGTTAATGTGGGTGCAAACACATTAGAGTTGTCAGGGAAGGCAAGCTGGCAGGTGACACTGTTTATATATATTCTGCTGGTACGGTAGTGGCTG